AAGACCATGCAAAGCAAGTGAAATGATATAGTCACAGCTTCTCTTTCATATATTTGTTGGGGTTTTACCTTATGATCAGTGTGTCCTATGTCTAACTATTGCTCTGTCATGGTCTCCTGTATCCAGACCTCTCAAGAGTTTCTTGCTCAGCTCATGTCCAAACTTGGGGGTAAAAATCCAGAAGAAACAGGTGGTTTCCAAGAGGCTCCGCTGGCGTATGACGCTGTGTGGGCTCTAGCGCTGGCCCTCAACAAAACCGTTGGGCCCCTTAGGACCAAGGGTCATCGTCTTGAAGATTTCAACTATAACAACCGAGATATCACTGCTGAGATCTACCGAGCAATGAACACCAGCTCTTTTGAAGGAGTGTCTGTAAGTGCAACACTTACTGGTGCTGGAGTGAGAGAAAAAAAGTTGCAAAGAGAAAGACACATGGGTACTGTGTGAAGGGTGCGTGCAGATATTGCATCATCAACATTTTTATGCTTCTTTCAGGGTCATGTTGTATTTGATGCTCAAGGATCTCGAATGGCCTGGACTTTAATTGAACAGCTTCAAGGTATGCTACAGCAAACATGTCTACTTTCAAATAGAACTGATTGTTGGGTCTGTGTTTCCACATGCCCCGCTAGTTTAGAGACTTATTCCTCATGAAGAACGCAAGACATAACAGAACAACCAACTCGCTGACGAGGGAAGTTTTGGGTCAGAACCAGCTCTCCAGCCCAAATCCTTCAAAGAGCAGCTTCCCTCGCGGCTATTTATTGACAAACTGTTACAATACACATACAACACAACACGAGCACTTCCCACCGTAAAACCCCCAATGGTTCTAAGACAAGGCACTATGTGTGTGTATGCATGTGCAAGAATGTGTGTGTGTGTGTGTGTGTGTGTATGCATGTGAGAGTGTGTGCGTGTGTGTGTGTGTGACCTCCTGCTCACCAAAAGGGTCATAAAAGCAGGAAGCTTACAACACAAGAAACAGATCTTCCAGATAGAATGTATCTGCAATAAAACCTCCCCCAGCACAGAGTGGCTGGAGAGGTGGTCAGAGACAAAGGAATGTCTTGATCCTATAGATTGAACTCAGACTTTACAAATTTAAGAAACCACAATGACAACATTCAACAATTAGGGCGATCGTGGCTCAAGAGTTCGGTGTTCATCTTGTAATCGGAAGGTTGCAGGTTCGAGCTCCAGCTCGGACAGTCTCGGTCGTTGTGTCCTTGGGCAAAACACTTCACCTACTCCCTAACGGTGTTGGCCAGAGGGGCCGATGGCCGATGGTGCAATATGGCAGCCTCGCCT